CAAATATGGCCGACTTAAATTCCGGTTTATCAGTGTCATTCTAATTTTATTTAAAAAATGTAAAACTATGATGTAGGGTAGACGTGGGGTAGACTCAATAATTTGTTGTTTTATTTTACGTTGTGAATAAATGTTGGTAGTTATTAAAATTGTTATAAAAATATATAATTCTAATAAAAACAGATAAGTTATAATAAGTATTTATTACCACAAACATCCGATACGCTACTGAAGCAGGTAAGTCAAATTAACGTATCTAAATTCTTTGACATCTAATCTTTGACAAGTAATAAATAAAAGCTAAAATGCAAGAACAATATATAATTTAGTTAATTTAAGTGAATTTCATAAATGATCGGTTTACTACACGTATGTATATTATATAGTCACTTACTAGCGAAAAGTTGTTCCATTATTTCACTCAATTTTTGCCCAGATCTACCGCACGCTACACAACCAACTATTTTAGAGTCTTTTTCGATAAATCGCGATGGTGTTACTGTTAATTTAAGTGCTGCCACAATTTCCATCTAGATTTACTACCTTTATACAACTATCAGTAGTAGAATAAATAATAAATAACATAAAATAAGCTCCGTAAAGACTGACAAATCCACAAAATTTCAAATCAAATTCAAATGTGTCAAATGAATCGTCAAACAGAACTGTCAAGGATCCCCACCCTAGAGTGCTTTTATGGCGCTTTTCCGCCCACCATGCATGAATACATGGATAGCATTATGCTCCTTCCTTAGTCTTCTTATTCAAAGGTTTAAATATAAATCCGTCATGCGTCGTGCCTTGTTGTTTTTAACCAGTTTTATTGGTTTATTTCAAAAATGACAGATCGTATTTCAATTTTATTGGTTTGACGGAACGATGAACGACAAACGGACGCCGATGCGTATGAACTCGCCTTTAGATTTTTGTCATTTTTGGCGCTTGTCAAAGTCTTGCCAAATTATAGGTTATAATTTTGTGTCAACTTTTGTTAAATACCCTGCGTTTTGGAAGATGATGCATTTTGATTCGTATTATTACGTGTGTTTTGTGTCTTTTGAAGTCAAGTGGAGGAAAAATCGAGTGAAAATTAACTGTAGACCCAGAGCATAGTTTATGGTTAATACTCGCTGCCCAGGCAGAAAGTCTTATACACCAATGAAGTTGCCATCGTTAAAGTTTGTATACCATCTCGTCGTAGATAAGTGCATCTCGTATATGATAGAAGGATCAAACTAAACACATACTAAAAACTGGAGTAGCTGTAAAATATCGACATCACACAATAGGTAAATAATGGATTTTAGTACTGCAGAAAAATAATGTCAAAAGGTACTGGTTTAAAAAAATTAAGGTTAAAGTTAATTAATCAACCTTTAAGGTATAAAATTTGGTAGGTGTTATTATTAATAAAATAGTTTGTTTTATTTACCTATGTTGTTTTATTTATTCCTGTGGAATATTACAAATTTGTATTTGTACATAAGTTATATTGATAAATATAATCATAAATGCGGGTAGTTTCATAAAGCTTGAAAGTAAAAAATAGTACTTTTTTATATTTTTTTTGGTATGTAGTGTCTTGTTCTTGTTTGTTTTGTATTAACACATACCGGTTTTATTAAATAAAATACCTCGATTACATTTTTTCAGTTTTATACAGTTTTTTTCACAATATTTTGAAGTAATCACTTGTCATCTTGTCAATCAAATTTTAAATATTTCCTGCTATGCGTTCCAGTTGTACCAACTTATTTCTTTGTAAAATAAAAGAAACTACTTTGAAATTAAAATGACAGACACATCTATCACTGTCAAGGATCTTCTCGTTGGACAGACTTACATCGTTTTTTGCGGCATAAACGACAGCAAAGTGGTCCTAAAAGGGCTCCGTCTTCCTTTTTTGAGGTACGGAACACAAAAAATTATAGATACGCATTAAAATAATTAAAAAATAATCTAGAAAATATTATAAATAATATAAAATAAATCACAAATAATTTAAGATCATTATTACAAAATCCAATCTTTAAAAATAGAAATTATTACGCCTGTTTCAGATTTATTGTCCAAATTGTTATTTATTTAAACCAATTATTGTTAAATATCCTTAAACAAACAATTTCTATTTTAATTTTATAGACTTTAGGCAATCTCTTGGTATTTTTCTCGCTTTAATTCGTATCTGTTATAATCATAATTAGTCACAATCTTGTTTTTTTATCCTTTTCTATAATTAACAGAATTATGTAACAACTCTATGCTAACTTAATAAAAATCTATGTAAATTTACTATAAAAAAAAAAATAATTTATTGATTTTACACCTGTTTCGTGAATATTTTGTTTGCCTAATGACGAATATTCGAAAATATTTGACAAACTTTGTAATATTTATTAATAGTATTTTTTTTAAGTAATTTTACTCATTCATTAGCAATTTTTTTTCATGATAAAAATATATCCCGTTTATACATATTAATAGTCATTCAAAAACTATTCTTTAAGAAATGTATAATTAATTAAATATCCATTCTTTGTCTACAACAAAGATAATTTGAAATAAAATAATAAAAATAATATAACAATTATTTGTAAATTAATAATTAATTGTAATTAATAATTAAGTATCTAATAAATATTTGAAAAATTGTAGTATACAAGGTACGTCTCAAAAGTGGTTCACCCCTATAACTTTTTTATTTCTTCAGATAAAAAAACGACATTTGGTATGTTAGTATGAGATATAAATTAGGATTGACTGAAGTATTCAGTTCATTTTGGCCACTTCCTGTTTCATCGGAAATGACCCAAACTTTTGATTTTTAAATGGCACCCTCGGTGTATTTTTACTTTATTCGATAAAAAATGACACTCTGAGTAGAATGACATATCGCATGTCAATTTTTGACATTTTCGCTTAAAAAATCGTTTTTTAAATTTCAAAAAAGATGCCAAATCGAATTTTTAATCATATCTCAATTTTTTCAAATGGAACAAAGGTGGCTCATTGGCATATTTGGAAAATACATTTTTTTACCAATAATTTGGTACCACACACTTGGTATTTCGAGTCAAGTTGTCGTTATGAACCGCATGTTACAATTTCAAATAAGCCATATGCAAAAATGTCAAAAGTTGACATGATCTGTCATTCTGTTCAGAGCGTCATTTTCTATCGAATAAAGTAAAAATATACCGAGGGAGTACTCTACTCATTTCCGGTGAAACAGGAAGTGACCAAAAACAAATAAGTACGTCAATCAATCCTAATTTATGTCATATAGTAACATACCAAAATTACCAAATCTCGTTTATCAAATTTATTAATCTCAAATTATACGGGTGAACCACTTTTGAGACGCACCGGGTAAATTATTAAATTATATTACTGAAATAATGTATTTGTATTATTTCAGTAATATATACCGTGCGATCAAAAAAAATCGATCAAAGACGGCTGGGGATTGTAATCGATGAGAATTTTTTTATTTCTTTAATCAAAAGTACCATATGATCGAATAAAAACGGCGTCAGCGATGGCTATGAAATGAAGATCGCTGTCATTTCATATGTAAATTTATATGGGAAATGTCATCGATCGTCATTTCCAAGCCAACTGGACGCCGTTTTTATTCGATCATACGGTATTAGGCTTTAAAATACCATGAATATTAAAAATATTATAAAAAAGTAAATTTTAAATCTCTTCAAAAAGCTCTTTGGTCATTTCAAAATATATAAGTACTGTCTTATTTGTTCAACCACCTTGTTTAGGAATTTGAAAAAGTCAACAAAGGCATTTAAACCTGTATACGCGGTCGACCTTTTAACATTTTATCGCTTGTTGCTGTAAAACGGTGAAAGTACCGAAGTTATTATCCAATTCAGTACCATCTGCAGTTATTGCTAAATCACTAAATAAAATATTTAGCTTTAATTAAACTGAAAAAGAAGCATATTTAACGAAATATCTAAATCTATACTAATATACAGGGTTGTTCACCACATACGACACGGAGTATTGTAGCTAAACGATGAGATTTTTACAAATTGTAAGTTTTGGGTTCGATGAAGGACTATTAGAGGTACAATTTAAAAATAATTTTACAGGATACAGAGTGTCCCAAATAAGTAAAAAATATCAAAGTTGTATTTTTTTAAATAGAACACCCTGTATATTATTACATTTTTAGTTTCTACGATTAAAATAAAGGTAAATTTGATTAAGGTTTATTATACTTAAACCTTACCGTTTTTGAAATATTTTCAATTTTGTGAAATTGCAGTAAAAATTTTAAGGCTTCATTTCTCCAAGGGTATCAAAGTTTTTAATACTAAATATTTACTGAAGTTTCTTTATTGATCAGTTATTGTGTTGCAATAATAAAAATAATACTACCTTATACAGAGTGTCTAAAAATTTATTTTAAATAATTATTAGCTTCAAACGGCAATAACTTGTTTAATTTAAATGGAACACCCTGTATATTTTACGAAAATCAGATGCACAATTTAATTGTCTATCAAATTATATTATACCATTTTTTACCTATCTCTTTAAGTTTCCGTAGAAAATGCATTTTCTTGTAATTTAGCACTTATTTATCAATATACCCATGGAATATTGACATTGTAGATTATTTTTGTAATATAACCCTGTATATTTATAATTAATTTTATATAAAAAGTATCATACACGTGACGAAATATTTATTTTGGTATGAACTGTAGATATATTTTGCCCTTCGTTCCAACGGCGCACCAAAACACCATGAGTTTGTTTTAACTTTTAATTTTAAAAATTTAACTCTTGAAATAAACATAGTATGTATGCTGATTCCTGTATGCTTGAGGGTACTTAACAAGGTGCAATGTTTCCCCCCATACCTTATCCTACCCGCTTAAATTAACCCTAAAATCCTCTCATAAGCACCCGTACTATTATAGTTTTTAAACTATTACCTATTCAAGTCTCTTTAAATTCTCTGTACTCCTTACCGTTTTCAAAGAAACCAAAAAGATCCAAACAAATCCCAGTACTCTGCTGGTACTGCTATCGAACGCCATATTGGAATAATTGCACAATAATCCAAACAACAAAAATACTCGCGCACACTGAGCCGAAAACGTCAAAAACTAGCAAACATTTCACGGTAAGTACCCAGGTTAGTTCGATGGTACTGTGCGCGACCGGTTCATAGCTATGGACGGTTCTGTTCTGACGGAACGGGTATATAGCGAAGGTTTCTGGTCTATGTGACCGACGATTTTTCCTGCGGTGGAGGCAGTACCGCAAGTAGTAGGGGAATGCAGGAAATTATATATATTGCTGTTGATGTTAGGCAACCAGATATACAGGGTTGTTCACCACATACGACACGGAGTCAAAGAGTAGAGTCTTATCTACTCTTTGACGGAGTATTGTAGCTAAACGATTAGATTTTTACAAATTGTAAGTTTTGGGTTCGTTGAAGGACTATTAGAGCTACAATTTAAAAATATTTTTACAAGATACAGAGTGTCCCAAATAAATAAAAAATATCAAAGTTGTATTTTTTTAAATAGAGCACCCTGTATATTATTACATTTTTACTTTCTACGATTAAAATAAAGGTAAATTTGATTAAAGTTTATCACACTTAAACCTTACCGTTTTTGAAATATTTTCAATTTTGTGAAATTGCAGTCGAAATTTTAAGGCTTCATTTCTCCAAGGGTATCAAAGTTTTTAATACTAAATATTTACTGAAGTCTATTTATTGATCAGTTATTGGGTTGTAATAATAAAAATAATACTACCTCATACAGAGTGTCTAAAAATTTATTTTAAATTATTTCTAGTTTTAAACGGCAATAACTTGTTTAATTTAAATGGAACGCCCTATATATTTTAGGAGAATCAGATGCACAATTTAATCGTTTATCGAATTGTATTACGCCACTTTTTACCTATCCCTTCAAGTTTTCGTATAACATTTTCTTATAATTTAGACCTCATTTATCAATATACCCATGGAATATTGACATTTTAGATTGTTTTTAAAGCAACAAAGGTACAACATGTACAGGCTAGTAATATTATCGTTTTTAGCAAAATGATAATATTACTAGCCCATTTGTATGCAAAAAGAAAACTATTTAAGTCTTTATAAAAGAGTATACCATTAATTACATATACCACCATTATTTCCGCCCAAATACTAATTAATTACATACTTAATTATGTTCGTTAATAAATTATTCTAAATAAATGTGGATTTGAATCAGAAATCAATATAATAATAAGTTATGAAAACAAATATCTCTGTTGTTATAAATAAGCATTTGTCAAAAAATGAAATATCATTTTTAAGGTGTTACTTTTTACCACACTGTCTAATACACATACAAAATTCAGTTTTTTAGTATTTGGAGTAATTATTATTAATCAACGCAAACAGTCAATTAATGTAGTTTGAATACTGGAATCATATTAATTGGTCCTCTTTAACAAATATTTAAACAGTTTCTTTTTAATTTTTAATGAAATAAAAAACTATATCGACAATATTAGTATCTGTACTCTTTAAAAATTTGGTACATCTTTAAAAATAATCTAAAAAGTCAGTATTCCATGGGTATATTGATAAATGAGTTCTAAATTACAAGAAAATGCATTTTCTACGGAATCTTGAAGAGATAGGTAAAAAACGGTATAATACAATTTGATAGACAATTAAATTGTGCATCTGATTCTCATAAAATATACAGGGTGGTCTATTTAAATTAAACAACTTATTGCCGTTTAAAGCTAGTAATTATTAAAAATAAATTTTTAGACACTCTGTATGAGGTAGTATAATTTTTATTATTGCAACACAATAACTGATCAATAAATAAACTTCAGTAAATATTTAGTATTAAAAACTTTGATACCCTGGGAGAAATGAAGTTTTAAAATTTTGACTGCAATTTCACAAAATTGAAAATATTTCAAAAACGGTAAGGTTTAAGTGTAATAAGCCTTAATCAAATTTACCTTTATTTTAATCGTAGAAGCTAAAAATGCAATAATATACAGGGTGTTCCATTTAAAAAAATACAACTTTCATATTTATTATTTATTTGGGACACTCTGTATCTTGTAAAAATATTTTTAAATTGTAGCTCTAATAGTCCTTCAACGAACCCAAAACTTACAATTTGTAAAAATGTAATCGTTTAGCTACAATACTCCGTGTCGTATGTGGTGAACAACCCTGTATATATATTTTATTTATTTATTAATATCTCTGAAATTATCGAAATATATATCTACTCATATCTTAGGATTACACGAAGTGATCTGAAAGGAAGCCAAAAATGCAATAATATACAGGGTGTTGCATTTAAAAAAATCATCCCGATCCACTCACACTGTTTTGAGCCACCCTGTAGAGGTTAAATATTTTCATAGTACATACTTTAGGTTAGCACTTAAACAAAATTTCAGAGATTTTTATTCTAGGAGCTACAGATGCCCGACGCACTATTGCCCAGACCCTGTATATAAAAAATTATATAAAACACATTTTCAAAAACTTTTATAACAAATTTTGTTTCTTACCTTTTTGTAATATTTTTTTCCTACTTTAAAACCACAAAAACTTTATATTTAGAACACTTTTTCACAACATAATATAATACACACACCGGAAAAATCTAGGGATATCATTGTATTAAAGTTAAAAATAAATGTTTTGAATAAACAACCACATATTTGTAGGCCGATTCTTTCTACTTCGATTGAAACGAAGTAGTCGCACTAGTTATTTCTAAATTTGGGATATTTGCAGAAGCGTTTGTGCATTTTTTGTCAAATGTATAAAAAGCACCTAGCATCAATTGTTCGAATTTAACCTGTACTGGCTATGTTTTTATGATAATTGGCCAGTATTTCATTTAAATAACTCTGTTTAGTATTAAACGACATTATGGAGCGTAGACATCTTAACAGAGACGAAATGCTAAGGGCCATGGGTATGCTCGAAGCTGGAATGCGCGAAATCGACGTAGCTAGAGCATTAAATACAACGCAAAGTGTAATATCGCGATTAAGTGCACGCTACCGTGAAAGTGGTGATGTTGCTGAAAGGCACACAGGGCGACATCGCATTACTACCCCTCAGCAAGATCATTTTTTACCATTAAATGCTCGACGCCGACCGACTCTTACAGTACCAGAGCTTAGTTTAATTCTCCAGGAAACACATAATATAACCATTAGTCCTGACACTGTTCGCAATAGATTAACAGAGGTCAACTTAAGAAGCAGACGCCCCTGGAGAGCTCAACCCTTAATGCGAGGAAATCGAGAGGTACGATATTTGTGGGGTTAAGATCATGTTCAGTGGTCGAATGAACAATGGGCCAATGTTCTCTTCACGGATGAGTCACGCTTTGGAATTCATCTGGATTCGAGAAAGCTTAGGGTATGGAGAGAACCGGGAAATCTTATTCGGTTGGATCATGTTCAGGAAGTGCACCCTTATCAAGGTGGAACAGTTATGGTCTGGGGAGGAGTTCAGTAAGGCCGAAAAGCGGATCTCATTTTTCTTGAAAGGTTTCTAACAAGAATCACATATCGTGATTTAATTCTTGAGCCTGTCGTGTTACCATATGCCAATGATTTTGGGAGAAACTTCATTCTCATGCATGACAATGCACGGCCTCATACAGCCAGAGTGGTAAGTGAGTTTATCAATGCTCTTCAATTAAACATCTTACCCTGGCCGGTACAATCTCCTGACCTCAACCCCATCGAGCACGTATGGGACGCGGTCCAAAGAAGAACTTTGAGAATGGGTATGCCTCGTGAAACTCGTAGGGATCTGGTTCGGGCCGTGAATGCAGCGTGACATCAGGTTGTACATCAAGAAGAGATCGACAACCTGATCAGAAGCATGGAGAGACGATGTAGGGCTGTAATGAACAGTAGAAGAGGCCATACCCTTTATTAAGTAAAAATGGTTTTATCTTTTTTTTTAATTCACAGTTTAGAATAAAAAAAATGTGTGTATTTTTTTGAGTTCAATAAAAATCAAGGTAAATTTGAAAAATTCGGTAAATTTCGCATTTTTATTTCCAATACGTCCTGTAAACTATTTGTTTATTTTAATTTTCCTGTTTTTGACCATTATTTTATTTTTAAACTCATAAAATTTAAAATTCGTTCAACTTCTCTTAAAAAAAGTCAAGAATCTATCTTTTTAATCACTCCAACCATTAACCTCCATTCCACAACACACATTAATCCCCTCTTTAACCTGTTTTTTCCCCGAATTTTACACAATTTCAAATATTGTTTTCATCCCCATTCTATTCCCTATATTTCATCCCTCGCAGCCAATCAGGAAAGCCTCGAATTATCGACGCGTTTTGTCCTCCAAAAACATACGCGTGGAGGCGCTATACTCACTCCCGCATGAGTAGAACACGATCAGTTACTCCGAGTTACCCCAACGCGAGCTTACCAGCAAAAAAAACTAAAAAAATCGACCAAAAAACGTGATTTTTACACAAAAAACACGTAAGTAACCCTATTTCATGTAGTTTTCTTGATGTTCTATCATTTTTTGTGATGTATTTTACGAATTTCATTGAAAAAATCATTTAAAACACATTTTTCTTCAAAAATCAATGTCCTCTAATATAAGAAACCCGAAATATTCACCAAAAACGAGATTTTTAATCAAACAACACGCCAGTAAAGCCATTTTACCTATTTTTTTGTTGTTTTTTTCTGTAATATTTTGTGAATTTTATTGAAAAAATCATCTAAATCAACTAAACATAAATGTTTCTGAAAAATCAATTACATCAATGTATAAAAAATGAATCAAATCATGTTTGAAACTGAAAATAACGTTATTTCGTGTGTTTTTACCGCTATTCATCGTTATATTTGACAAATTTTATTGAAAAAATCATCTAAAACGACTATTAAACACACTTTTCACTAAAACCAACCCTTTCAAGTTAGAAAAATGCCATAAACCATGTTTAAAACGTATTTTTTATTGAAGAAAGTGTATCTAAAGGTGATAAATTCAACTGGTATAAGGTTAGGAAGTTGTCCAAGTTAAGGGCAGATCAATAGAGAATTCTCTCACCCCCTAAGTGGGGTAGGGGTGTTAAGGGGAGAATTGGAAGAATGTGGGGGTTTTGTTGGAAGGGGGGATGACATTTTTTTAACGTTTTTTCTTAGCAAATTTTTACTTGAATATTTTTTTGATTTTTTTTGTGATGCTCAAAAGTTTTACGTTGAAAAAAATCCAAAAATTGTTAAAAATCTTAATAAGGTAAAACCAAAAAGCTTCAAACTTTCTGTATGATTATTTTTAATTTGTTTTTAATTTTTACGTATGTTATTTTTATTTATGTTATGTTCTTTAAAATCAAAAAGCGGTTGCCATACATTACTAACATCTACAGATGCATGAGCAATGCATTTATTTTTATTAGATTGTATTAAAAAAGCCTTTTTATTTTTCTTTTGCAGGCTATCACTTCTTTCATTATAATTTTTGCATTGTTAAAATCTATTCTTTGCCCTGTGTTCCATGAATGCTGACAAATCTTAGATTTGTAAAACTTGCCATTTCTTAAATAATCTTTATGTTCTTTAATTCTAACATTTAAGGGTCTAGATGTTTCACCAATATAAAATTTATCACATTCATATGGTATTTTGTATATTACATTTTTTGTTTCTTGTCCAGTGTTCATTGGTTTAGTGTGTGTTAAAAGTGTTTTTTGTGTTTTGAAACATGTTCGTATATTATATTGTTTTCCTATCCTTATTTTTTTCAGAAACGCCTCGTATGTATGGAATTCTAAGTTGTACATACAGGGTGAGTTTCCTACGATGTTCTCTATGGGTATCTCTGAAACTACTGGAGATAGAGAGTCGGTTAAATGAGAATAGAATTGCAGTTTTGTAGGATCATAAATATGCGCCTTTCAGATTTTTGAAAGAGTTCATGGCTTACTAGATATTTCGAAAAAAACAAATTTCGGCTATTTTAAAAACTGTCCCTAATTCCATTATAATCTATTTTAGACAAAAAGTTTTCAGATAAAAGTTGTAGATAATCACATCCCTAATGAGTTTTAGTTCTCCGATTTTTTCTAAAACCTGTCATTTTTGACATATGACACAAACATATGTTTTTTTTTAAATGGAAACCATACTTGGCCACGACTTCATAAAAAGCGCAAGTTTTTAAGCTTTTCAGCGATATAAGCTATAATATGTTTTTTTCACAAAATTACTGAATTATAGCCAATTCTTATCTTTCTTGACTAATTTCACTTAGTTAGCCATGGAAACAAGTTCAATCGTCGTTGCTCTCAGAAATTTAAAACTGACACATCCAAACTTTGTAAATAAATAAATAAATAAATAAATGCCTTTATTGTCAAAAAATTTTTCAATTTGTAGACAAAGGTAAACTAACAAACAAAGTAAAAAAAACAAGGTACACAAACAAACAAACAAAAGATAATACAAAACATTATACAAATAATATTCACAGTCTTATTGTTAAAATAAACATTTATAAATGTTTACAATGTCAAAGAACAAAAAAAATTAAAATAATATTCAAAAATATTTAGCCAGTTTATAGCAAAATATCAATGACCTCTAAATAAATTAATTTCGATGTCATTAGTAAATATAGCAATAGCAAACATTAGACCAGTGTTTTCAAGATCAAATTCGATTTTCAATTCAAATATAATTCATTTACGGCGTAGAAAGCCTTGTCTAGTAAATAAGAGTTCAATGCTTTGCGAAATGAAAAAAATGATGTTATGGATTTGATTTCAAATGGCAGGTGATTGTGCATTTTTTTCGAGTTATATAATATTGAACTTTTAACTAACTCTGAGCGTGGGGTAGGTAGATAAAGATCTTGCTCCGCGTTCCTGAGTGGATAAGTGTGAGATGGCCTTTCTTGAGAATCTGATACATGTTTACGTATTAGGCAATCGGATTCAAATATAAATAAGGAAGGAAGAGTCAATATTTTTAATTCTCTAAAAAAGCCCCGGCAATGAGTTCTGCTGTTTAGTCCCAGTGAATATCGAACAGCTCTCTTCTGGAGCTTGAAAATGCGATCAAATTGAGCCGTACAACACGTATCCCAGAGTGGAAGGGCATACCTGAGGTGCGACTCAAAAAGTGCATAATAAACAGTTCTAGCCACTGACAAGTTAAGCTCCTTAGAAACAGACCTTAATGCAAAACAGGCAGAGCTCAATTTTTTCGACAAAGCTTCGACATGTATGTCCCATTTCAGAGAACTGTCCACAACAAGCCCTAAGAATTTTACAGATTTTACGACGTCAATGGTGGTGTTGTCAAGTACAAAAGGCTGCAACGAGTTTTTATACGACAAAGCCTTAGTTTTAGAAATGTTGAGACTCAGGAGGTTCGAATCGCACCAAGATTTAATGGTGATTAAGTCATTTGATATAATCCTATGAAGTGCCGCGATGTCCTTGTTGCTCCAAGTGAAGCTAGTGTCGTCCGCAAAAAGACATATTTTGCCACTGATGTTTATGTTAGCAATGTCGTTAATAAAAAGAAGAAAAAATAATTTAAAATAAACAAAAATTGTAAATAGGAATTTTTCAAATGAAGAAAAGCGTGTAGGATTATTAGTTCAACTTTTCTTGGCCATACAGTTTCGAGACTTTGACCAGTGAACGTTACTTAGGTTTTTTAGAGAACGGTTTTCAAGACATGTTAGAAAAGTTAAATTCATCACCTGACCTATCCATTTTAAATTTTTTTATGCGGTATGATTAACAACAACAAGGTTTACAAAAGAACCTATGAATCGAAGAGATGGTACAGGAGAAGTTTAATTAAGTCGACCGGTCGTTCTGTGAGAATAGCTAGAAATTCAGTTTCAAAAAGATTATTTATTTATGTACTCAAAACAATGGCGGATTTTTTGAACATTTTCTAAAATAACTTAAAGTGTATGTAGTAATATTATTTTTTTAAGTTTTAGTTTGTGTAATGTAAATTGTAAAGATCCATTTAATAATATATTTTGTCTTTTTATAAGTTATAAATCATCAAACTTTTTCAAAAATCTGAAAGACGCTTATTTGTGACGCCACGAAATTGCAATTCTTTCCCCATTTAACCGACTCTCTATCTCCAGTAGTTTCCGAGATACCCATAGAGAACATCGTAGGAAACTCACCCTGTATATTGTGTATTGTTATTTGTCATTGTGTGTATTTTTTTGCATTGCGAGACATAGTATTTTTTTATATTTTACGTTTTTGAGGGGTTAATTTTTAATGACAAAATAATAGTTAAAAACAGTAATAAAAAATAAACTTAAAAAGCAATGTATAAACTTATAAAACAAGGTCGCGGATCGTTGGAAACCATTAATCAAATCACGTTCAAGTCTGGGAGAAATGCCTAAATTGCATGTTTGATTATTTAAATACCCTCGTCCAACATGAATAAGCTCTGATTTAGAGCAATTCCTGATAAGATTTAGTCTGCGGTCTTAATGTGTAATTTCTTAGTTAATTATTCTTAATTACAGTGCTCGTACGGACTGATTGTTTCTAAAAAGAAACGGTCTTAATTATTTGCAAGTTTAAATTATATAAATTGTATTAATTATTTTATTTAATCAATACAGAGTGCTACAAATTCGAGGAACGAGCATTGGTATCTCGGTAACCGTAATAGATACGAACAAGGTTAAATTGGGGTTTGGTTGCGCTTTGGGATGTTCACCAAGATGCCATTACAGATGAGGGTTGGAACCTTTGGTGTTACACAGCAAAATAAAACACTAAATCACCACAATACACCAGAACACTTTCACTTTTACACTGGACGCGCGTTTCGCTAACCATGTTAGCATCATCAGCAGATGATTATAAACTAAAGTACAATCTACAAGTTGAGCGTTTATATACTCGCTCAGTGGGCACCGAGTGGGCGTGGCAAAATCTAGCCAACCGAGTCAGAGCCCACTGAGCGTAACAGTTAGATTTCCGCCACTAGAGTAGTAGGAACAAAGAACTTGAAGGAATTGGACCGTTGTCTCTGTTCATACTATCTTTACATTTATTAATTGTGATGCTTTCATATGCATCTAATTGCCTGTAATTTGAGACTTGTTTAATTAATTTTAAATTATTAAGATCTATACAATGTTCTTTATCAACAATATGTTCGGCAACGCAAGATTTATCCGGTCTACCATATCTTAACTATGTTTCCCACTTTCCAACGAAAGATATGAAATAGAAAGAGATTACATTAGGAATGTAGCTGAGTGTAATGGATATTCTCCTTCACTAGTTGATAAATTAATTAGAAAATGTAGGTATAGATTAATGATTTCTGAAAATTCGACTTTTCAAGTGGAGAAAGATACGTCTAAATTTTTTTCGATACCGTTTGATAGAGAGTTATCCCGTGGTCTAAAAGGAATTTTTAAGAATGTCAATTATAAACTTGTGTATAGTGCTAATAATAAATTACAACTATTATTAGGTAATCCAAAGGATAAAACACCTCCACTGGAAAGGTCGGGGATTTATGAAATTTCTTGTAAAGATTGCAATCAGAAATATGTTGGGCAAACTAGAAGATCAATATTAACTAGATTTAAAGAACATTTAGCTCAGATAAGATATGGTAGACCGGATAAATCTTGCGTTGCCGAACGTATTGTTGATAAAGAACATTGTATAGATCTTAATATGTCCTAATTGATTGATGATCCTAATTGTCCAACAGAGAGGGTGGTAACCGTTTCGAACACGTAGCATTAGAAACTAGTTTGTAGAAGTTGATTTATTTTTAATAAGTAACTCTTAGATCACACACTGAGATTTCAAATTCACAATAAAAAAGGTTAAAAATAATATTTTTAAATTGCTGACCTAAACATTATTTATTTGAATCTTCCAATTGGCACGATTTTCCTTATTCAAAATATCCAACTATTTTTTTTTAAATCTATAATATTAAGATGTTTTAAATTAATTTTCAGCAAATTCCAACCAAATCCCGTTCTTCCAAAGCACCAACACAACAAACAACCTCCTCCGCCTTACCTAGCCTCCAAATCGTCTCCGATAACCTCCACTCGGGCCCCATTCCCCTCCAAGCTTCAAGATTAACGAGTGCGGCAAGTACTGCACCCCCCCAGCCGCCAACGGCCCCACCATTTCGTTCAGCAGCTTCCGCCAGTCCTTCACCTCCAATGTCAATTACTTGAAGAGGAGGTTCAGCTCCGGGGACCTGTCCTCGGAGTGCGACGATGACGTGCACCATGTGGATCCTTACAGTAAGGTGCCGCCTGTCACCTCACAACCGCAGGTAAGGTCAGATATATTTTTTTTGGGTGTGTGATAGAGAAATTGCCAATTGAAACATCCAGTATATGCTTAGCTATACCACAGATTATAAACTTTGTTTTTTCTTTATTGTTTTTCGTGGTTCCAATTTTCGGAATCGGGCACTAGTTAGGTTACTAGTTTGCGCACTTAGCACGCCCACTTATGGCCTCTAAAATTGTGCACAGCGCCTGACCGGCACAGTTATTAGAGAGATATCGGAAAACCGAAAAGCGTCATGCAGTATTTACGCGTACCTTATCATGGTTACGATATGCGCGACTCAATTTTTAACGCAACACCCGCTAATAACGTTACCGTCTGACGTAATTTGCGGATCAATTGCACCAAGCGCTATTTCTAAATAACGTTTAAAAATTGCTTAAATTGGCACGTGCGGGTATTTGACAACAGGGGCCGGCCGGCCGGATCTTTTATTTTAGGTTATGTTTGAATTGTTTTGAATTATTACTTTAGTTTTATTAGGTAATTTGATATTTAAGTAGTTGGAATTAGTTTTAATTAAATAAATATGGCCCAAAATATGGATTCCACCTCATCCAATATTAAGGAACCTATAAGAGGCTTAGGTTTACAGCAGATGATGACTTAGCCCTTCTAAGAGAATTTGTTGCTTGTTGCCCTAAACCCACTGGCATACGTTGAACAATAAAGCACTGGAAATAAGCACTTTAGCCCTTTAGTTTTAAAATACCTAGTAAACAAAACAATTTCAAAATTTTAAATTCAAAGTTAGGTTAAGTTTAAATAGCGGACGCGACGAGAACAGAATTCTTTCCATAAATGAAGAGAGTTAATACCACCTCACGTAAAGGAAATAACACCTGGCCTTATTAACGTCCATGTACGCTATTCGGTTTAGCGATATCTCTCTATTACGCTGTTTATTGTTATTTTACGCAGGTTTATTTTTGCGCACAAGAAATTTTACTCGTTTGCACATCTTCACAAAATTTTCGTACCACGAATTAGGGACAAGATTTTTATCTGTATACTTATAGGATACCTAATCTGTGGTATTAATTTCAAGTCTGTAACAAAACGTTTTTGAAATAAATAGATTTAATGAAAAAATAAATTTCAATTTATTTTTTTTGTTCCTTAAGAAGTTACATTAAATTAAGAATTTCACGTGCACTTATTGAGATAGTGTCACTGGTCTCGGATCTTATATAGTGTTCTTAATTCTTTCTTCAGGCACCTCCCCCACCACCACCTTCACAGTCCAGTACCAGCAGCGACTTGTCTTTGAACCTCCGACCAGGTTCCAAGACTACCAGCGCTCCTAGTTCTCCAGCCAAGTCTAGAGAAAGCCTCCTCCAGAGAGTCCAGTCTCTGACTGGTCAAGCTAGGGACCAGGGGGCTCACATATTAGGTGCTGCAGTCTCCAGGTAAGATGCAATGAAATAGTTTACATTTTTTTTAAATTTGGATTTGTTGCTTGCAGCTCTGCCTGTAAATTATTCTAAGTGAATTATTTTTTTTGTTACTGTATCCCTAAATTACATTTGAGGGTTGGAACCTTTGGTGTTACACAGCAAAATAAAAACACTAAATCACTACAATACACCAAAACACTTTTACTTTTACACTGGACGCGCGTTTCGCTAACCATGTTAGCATCATCAGCAGATGATTATAAACTAAAGTACTAAAGTACAATCTACAAGTTGAGCGTTTATATACTCGCCCAGTGGGCACCGAGTGGGCGTGGCAAAATCTAGCCAACCGAGTCAGACCCCCCTGAGCGGAACAGTTAGATTTCCGCCACTAGAGTAGTAGGAACAAAGAACTTGAAGGAATTGGACCGTTGTCTCTGTTCATACTATCTTGACATTTATTAATTCTGATGCTTTCATATGCATCTAATTGCCTGTAATTTGAGACTTGTTTAATTAATTTTAAATTATTAAGATCTATACAATGTTCTTTATCAACAATATGTTCGGCAACATATTGGTTATCAAGGGAGTTCGAAAATTTACCTGATCATGAATCTTCTTTCTCAGTTAAAAATAATATTGAATTCATTAACAAAATTAAAGATGTAACATTGCAGGAAGGTCAAATTTTGGTCTCCTTTGATGTATCTTTGTTGTTCCCAAGTGTTCCAATTCCACATAATTTAGGCTACTTGAAGGAATTACTGAACGCAAATGGTCTCGACAACGAAACTGTGATTGAATATATTGAGCTTATATCGTTATGTATGAAACAAAATTATTTTCAATTTAATAACAACTTTTTTGAACAGCGGGAAGGTACAGCAATGGGTAATCCATTGTCTCCATTTTTGACTAATTTATTCATGAGCAGGTTTGAAGTGGAGGCTAGGAATCAGTTTGAGTATTTTCCAACAGTATGGTTTAGGTATGTGGATGATATTTTTGCTGTTTTTGACACACATTCAGACACCATAGATAATTTTATTTCCAAGTTAAATAATCGTTTTCCTTCCATTAAATTTACGCATGAAATTGAGAACAACGACAGATTACCATTTCTAGATATATTAGTTATTAGAAATACTAATAATTGCCTGGAATTTGATATCTATAGGAAAAATTCGACCACACGTAGATATATTCTTAATGAATCACATCATAGTGTTGAACATAAAAAGGCTAGTTTAAATTTCTTAGTTCATAGATTACTTAGTTTCCCACTTTCCATCGAAAGATATGAAATAGAAAGAGATTACATTAGGAATGTAGCTGAGTGTAATGGATATTCTCCTTCAGTAGTTGATAAATTAATTAGAAAACGTAGGTATAGGTTAATGATTTCCGAAAATTCATTTTTAAGAATGTCAATTATAAACTTGTGTATAGTGCTAATAATAAATTACAACAACTATTAGGAGGATAAAACACCTCCACTGGAAAGGTCGGGTATTTATGAAATTTCTTGTAAAGATTGTAATCAGAAATATGTTGGGCAAACTAGAAGATCAATATTAACTAGCTTTAAAGAACATTTAGCTCAGATAAGATATGGTAGACCGGATAAATCTTGCGTTGCCGAACATATTGTTGATAAAGAACATTGTATAGATCTTAATAATTTAAAATTAATTAAACAAGTCTCAAATTACAGGCAATTAGATGCATATGAAAGCATCAGAATTAATAAATGTAAAGATAGTATGAACAGAGACAACGGTCCAATTCCTTCGAGTTCTTTGTTCCTACTACTCTAGTGGCGGAAATCTAACTGTTACGCTCAGTGGGCTCTGACTCGGTTGGCTAGATTTTGCCGCGCCCACTCGGTGCCCACTGGGCGAGTATATAAACGCTTAACTTGTAGATTGTACAAATATTAATCTCGTAGGCCTGATTTTTCTTGTCTCTGACGCTGTATTTTCTTGACTTTACACGCCATAAGCAAGCCAAAGCTCTTCAACAGTTCAGTGAACTCACTGAGAAACTCATGTGAGGATTGCCCTAGGCCAGACATTATTTGTATTTTGATTAGCTGACTAAAATTAAAATAAAACCATAAACAAATCGTTGTGAGCGTTCACACGCTACGACTTATATACAGGGTGTCCCAGAAATAAGTGCAAATATTTTAAGGGATAGTAGATCTCGATAAAAGAAACATATTTTCTCTTTATCGTTTTTCAAATAAGTCCAAAATAACGGAGTTATTTTACTTTGAAAATTTCCAAAAAAAATGATTTTTTGCTAAAATTTTAAGAACCTCTCTGGATTTTCTTTCTTGTAAATTTAATCTAATACCTATGTTGCCATATTATCAAGAAATTATGTTTTTTAACTAAAAACTAAAAAAAATTCCAAAAATTTTTTCAAAAAATTTCGAATTTTCAAATTTTTTTTTCGCGAAAAAACCTCATAGGCGTGTTTCTGGGGTTGAGCTATACTACCAGTTAAAATATTTGCACTTATTTCTGGGACACCCTGTATAAAATCTATTTATGCAGTTCTAAAATTTCTTTAAACTTGCTGTCCCCACCCTACGCTTTATCTGTAACGTTTTGCTGACTCTAGCAAATCGTACGATAAATCGTTGCGTCTGGACCACGCTTTAGCTTGTTTTAAAGCATTTTTTATTATTTGCAGTGCCACTCGTGTTACATCTGCAGTATCAGGAAGACATCTCACCCTCCTGGTGATCGATGACCAGAACACTGACTGGACGAAGTATTACCGTGGCAAACGAATTGGAGACTACGAAATCAAAGTGGAGCAGGCTGAATTCAGGGAAATCACAGTCACAGCCACTGCTGAAGTGGCTAATGTCTCTATGGCAGTGTACAGGGGTGGTACCAGGGTCGGAAGATCGTTTAGACCCGATTTTATGTTGGTAAGTGTAGATTAAATTGTCAAAAAAATATGAAATTATTCTTTATAAACCTTTTTAAAAAAATTGCGCTTATTAAGAAAGCACCCAGTAGATTAAATATATTAATTGTTATAATAGATACATTAACATTGAGTCGTTTTTTTCAAAACGTATAATGTTTATAAGAACTAAAGAGATATTAATTATATTAAATTTATTAGCACTTACCTTATTAATACTACCAGCTCAATATTGCATTAAAACATTAATTTTTCATTGATTTTTTTTTATATTCTTATGCTTTATTAGGTATGATTGTTATTAATTTTTTTAAACAAAAAATATATATTTTATATTACCTTTTGTTATTGTTGATTTATTAGACATATAAATGTATTTACTCATATATCAAAATACTGTTTTTAAAATTTTAACATGAATTTTCAATTAAACCATATTATACTTACTCATTTTCAATTATTGTTATTAATTCTATAATTTTATTGAGTCTACATACCTACAGTATTTTCTTATATCCTTTTGGAAATAACCATTAAATAAAATTTATTTAATGCAAAATTTTAGTTTTTTAATTACTGTTTATTTATCAGTTAAGCCTTTGGAGTTTTTGCTTGATTTATATATTTAATTTTCATCTTTTTTGCGAAAAATCTTTGCTTTCATGTTGTCAGACTATCATCTTGTATACAACGTGATTATACAGGGTGTCCTCAGAAATAAGTGCAAGTATTTTAAGAGGTGGTAGATCTCGATAAAAGAAACACATTTGCTCTTTATTGTTTTTCAAATAAGTCCAAAATAACGGAGTTATTTCACTTTGAAAATTTCCCAAAAAAATGATTTTTTGCTAAAATTTTAAGAACCACTGGAATCTTTTCTGGATTTTCTTTCTTGTAAATTTAATCTAATACCTATGTTGCCATATTATCAAGATATTATGTTTTTTAACTAAAAACTAAAAAAAAATCCAAAAATTTTTTCAAAAAATTTCGAATTTTCAAAATTTCTTTTTTGCGAAAAAAACCTCAGGCGTGTTACTTGCACTTATTTCTGGGACACCCTGTATATAGTCATCTAGTGTAGGATTTATCTATTTTTTATACATAGGTACCTAAACCTGTAAATATTACTAACAAAAAATAGTAAAACAATAAAAATAGAAAACTAAAACCACTTTATTAATAAATTATTTTGTACAATGGTAATAATAATAATAATACAAAAACAAGCTCACTTAACAAAATAAATTATAAATATTATATCAACAGTGAACAAAAATAATATTAGTAAATGCCTAAGTTTTTTTTAAGTCATATTTTTTAAACTAATTTTTCCTTGTGAGTAATAATACTAATATTTTATTTTTTTCAATAGGTTAGACAAAACCTAAGAGACGCTGGTGAAGACTACAAGAAACTTATTTTGGCCATGAAATTTGCTGGAATACCTAGCATCAACAATTTGAACTCAATTTACAACTTTCAGGTAATTTATTTTAACTATACCATATTTTAAAAATTTAAATAATATATACCGGGTGAGCATATTTTCAGAGCTGGTAGATCTCATTTCAGGACATTTTTACATCTCATAGACGTGTTTTTGAGATTTAAGACTCACCCTGTATAAATTTTTGTTAAAATTCACGAGATTCAATGGATTAATAAATGCTACAAAGTTAATTTTTTTTTGTAAAAAAATTAACGACTTTTAAAGTTGGAACAAAATTAAAAATACTACAACACTGTATGTACAAGTCTGTGTTTTGTTACTTTATAGGACAAACCGTGGGTTTTTGGACACTTGATTCAACTCCAAAGACGATTGGGCAAAGAGGCGTTTCCATTAATTGAACAAACATTCTACCCTGATCACAACGAAATGGTAAGTAAAAACATTTAATTTTTTAACAACAATTTAAAATTATATATACATACGATATTAGAAACAAGTAAAGTGCTTTAAAATTCGTTAACAGGAGGTAAAAAACCATGCGAACGAAAAAAAAGGCGTCGAAGATGGCTGGGGAATGACAATCGATGATAATTTTCACGAGGTCAAGCCCTATAGACGTCATTTACTTGACCCGTACTCTTTTTTATTTAGTAAAAAAGATTTTTAAATGGTGTAGTTTGAAATTTAAGACGATTTTTTTGGAAATAGATTTGTATGTGTCAATTTTTAGTAACGCAGTATCTTTGACGCCGTTTTTTTTGTTCTTATATAGTATAAATAAAGCTTTTTCTAACGATTTTAACATTTTTTTCGAGACACTAAATTGAGGGTTTTTGATTTTTTTCTTATGGTATCATATTTGTATGCCAGCCAGGTATAGTTGAATTTCTTTTTGGATGCCTACAGGCTGCCAAAAGTCGGTTTTTGCTCCACATGCATGAACCATTGTCTTGTCTCAAACAAATGCCCTGAAATATACAAAAAAACATATTTTTAACAATGATTTTTTTTATACAAAGTGAAAAATAATATATTGTTTTATTAGGAGTAAAAATGATACTTCTCGTGGTGAGACTGTACGTTTGACTTTCCAGGCAAAGCACAAAAAGTACATTTTAACTCCCAATATAAAGGTGCGTATTCATTATCCGTACGAACGAACGAACGAACGAACGAATGTTCGCTAGTGGTATGGACGGGGACCGTACGACAGAACCGCACGAGAAGACCGGAGGCATTTGTTGGCGAACGCCTTTGATGTACCGACTCGAAACGGATGGTCGAGCGAACGAACGAACGAACGGCCGCATGCGTTCGGTCCCCGTCTAAATATACCGCACTTTCGTTCGACCATCCGTTTCGAGTCGGTACATCAAAGGCGTTCGCCAACAAATGCCTCCGGTCTTCTCGTGCGGTCCCCGTCCATACCACTAGCGAACATTCGTTCGTTCGTTCGTTCGTTCGTTCGTTCGTGCGGATAATGTATACGCACCTTAAGAAGCTATTTTTTTTTCAATCGCGACCAAATAAGTTTTTAGACGATTTCAAACATTCCAAATATTATAAAAAATATTTAGAAGTAATACCTTCTAAGTAATTATACAGAAAAGTCCACAGACTTTGAGACATAGGAAAATCAAGTCCATTTAGCGTCTGTCCAAATTATGAAGTTTTCAAAAATGACAGTTTTGTTTAGACTGACGTTTAATTTCATTTTATTTAAACTTGATAAGTTTGAAATTGTTTATCTCAGAATCTTGAATTGCATTTAAAAATGTCTGTGTATCACGTTAATGAAAAAATTCAGATAATTAAGTGGATTCGAAGAAATAAAAACGGGATTCGGACAAGCTTAGGTAGAGCTTAGAATGAGCTGTATTTATATTTACTTTAATATTCACCTTAAATGAGGGAACTTGACTGATACAATTTTTGAATTTGAATTGTTTTTAATGATACTAACAATTTTAGTTCAATTTTTAATAAAATTTATTTAATATTAATAGAAAACCAAGAGATTTGAAACCTCTTTTAGCGATTTATAACATTCCCAAATTAATTACAGGTGCCCTTATTTTCTATGAAAACCACACAGCTTTTTTCATAGTCGCTGCAGTTGCTATAGCTATAAAAACATAAATTTTTAAGGTGTGAAAATTGCGACACACGCTAAATGGACTTGATTTTTCCTATGTCTCGAAGTCTGTGGACCTTTCTGTATATCGAGCAACAACGCACGGGTACATTCGTTGAATTTAACACTTATTGTCAGTTTAATAATATATTTTTATACTTTTCTTAGACAAAAAAATTCTTTACTTTTGCCTAGGATTGCCTAGGAGTTAAAATGATATTTTTGTATTGTCAATCATGTCGCAAAAATTAATGCTTTCTTGAATAAATAGTATATATTGTTTTATTAGGAGTTAAAATGGCGAGGCTGTATGTTTGACATACGGTCGTGGCAAAAAAGTCATTTTTAATCCGAATAGAACGAATAATATAAAAAGATTGAAAAGTCGTACCTTGTATGTAATTATATATCGAGTAACTATTGTTACGCTCGTTGAATATGACACTTCATGTCAGTTTAATAATATATTTTTTTTTGTACTTTTATGCTTAAGCGTAAAAGCTTTGAATAAGAAGACTAAGGAAGGAGCATAATGCTATCCATGTATTCATGCATGGTGGGCGGAAAAAGGACTCTAGGGTGGGGATCCTTGACAGTTCTGTTTGACGATTCATTTGACACATTTGAATTTGATTTGAAATTTTGTGGATTTGTCAGTCCTTACGGAGCTTATTTTATGTTATTTATTATTTATTCTACTACTGATAGTTGTATAAAGGTAGTAAATCTAGATGGAAATTGTGGCGGAACTTAAATTAACAGCGACACTATCGCGATTTATCGAAAAAGACTCTAAAATAGTTGGTTGTGTAGCGTGCGGTAGATCTCGGCAAAAACCGAGTGAAATAATGGAACAACTTTTCGCTAGCAAGTGACTATATAATATACATACGTGTAGTAAACCGATCATTTATGAAATTCACTTAAATTAACTAATTATATATTTTTTCTTGCATTTTTGCTTTTATTTACTACTTGTAAAAGATTAGATGTCAAAGAATTTAGATACTTCAATTTGACTTACCTGCATCAGTAGCGTATCGGATGTTTGTGTTAATAAATAATTTTATAACTTATCTATTTTTATTAGAATTTTATATTTTTATAACAATTTTAATAACTACCAACATTTATTCACAACGTAAAGTAAAAAAAAAATATTGAGTCTACCCCACGTCTACCCTACATCATAGTTTTACATTTTTTAAATAAAATTAGAACGGCACTGATAAAACGGAATTTAAGTCGGCCATATTTGAGGCCCATCGCGGTGGATCTAAGATTTTTGATATGCTCCTTCCTTAGTCTTCTTATTCAAAGATGCTTAGGCATAATCAGGCATAATAACATAAATAACTTTTTATGACTTTTGTGACGTTTGAAAAAAAACAATTTAATTGAATATTTTCATATTATTTTTCCATAACAAAAATATTACGTGTTTCTAAATTCAAATTATATCAGTTTTTCAACTTATTTTCTTACATTTTCTGTCTCACAATGGCTGTTCCAATTACAGCTATCTCTGTGTCTTGTACATTTTCCGTATAAGCCACCAAACATGCAGTACTTGATGTTACAAGTACAGCCTTGCTTGTAAAGCTGCCTTAAACCTTTCCTTTGGCGTCTCGTGACCTGGTTCCATGGCAAGGCCATGCCGCACTGTGTGATGTGGGCCTAAAATTAAATAAAACGGTTAAAATCAAGTTACCTTGGTTACACCAATATAGACTACACTATTTACATCTCAACGCGGTCAAACAATCTTTTTTGTACACATGTTTACTTCTGGGTACAGTCGACCGAGCCTTCCTCGTCCAGCCTATGTTATCACGTCTTTAATATTATCAATATTTTTTTTCTTGTTATACACATATATTGAGATATTAATACTACAGTTTAATAAAGTATGTTTTAATATTCCATAGATGTATTAAATAGTCCTTATACTACTAAATTATAAGTCGGATACTGTTTAAAAAGGATAAGTTCTTTACAATATGACAACACCGATTAGAGGCGCGGGAGCCTATTCATTCATTTATTACCTTGTAGTACGCGTCGCACGTGTGCGGTAAAGCTTTGTTGCCGCTATCTCCCCGGCTGTATTAACGCATTTTCCGTATTGGATATACCAAAAAAAAAACACTTGAATTTGTGAAAAATAACAGTTCTTAGGGTATAATTGTATAATTATATATCTTAAAACTTACAAACTACATATATTCAATTATTACTTATTACGAAGAACAAATATTATTATACAGGGCGAGTCTTAAATAAGTGTAAATATTTTCAAGGGCTGTTAAGGGTCTGATAATAGAAACATATATTTTCTCTTTACCGTTTTTCAAATAAGTCCAAAATATCCGAGTTATTTTACTTACTTACTTAATTTAAAAAAAAATATTATATTAAAAATTAATAATTAAATATTTAAAATTAAAAAAATCTTAAACTTTTTAAAGTTTTTCTTCATGCTCACCTTGAGGCTGTGTATTCTGCCGGATATGACGTAGACTTTTCCCAATTGCAACATGGCGCCGCACGCGGCATCCTCGATTGGTGTGTGTAATCGGCCTGATTTTAACGCTACCAAACCCTTTTCAGAAATCTTGAACTCCCTCTTGACCCTAACTTTGTACACCCTCGATTGAGTTGACTCTATGATCTGCTCTTTCTTGACTTTAGCCAGGATTACTGAAAAAAAAGAAAAAACAACTAAAACACATTTTTTACTATCTTATGGACATTTTTATGTATACAGTATGTCCAAAAAATGACGGAAAATGACGGAAATGTACAGGCTGGGTCAAATTCGACGCTTCCAAATGGAAACACCCTTTTCTATAGGAAATAGACAAAAATTAACATCGGTGTCTGGAGCTCAATTTTTGTCAAAAACATGATGGTGAAAACCGCATATCGATATCTGTTACCGTTTCGGAGTTACGGGGTGTTTTTCAAAAATATACATTTTTAACAAATCGCTGTAACTTTTTTGCTATGGAAAATTTTGTATTTTTTAGAAACATTTTCAAAGCACCTTTTTACGTAGAATTTAATGATTTAAGTATAATTTTTTTAAAATTAATATTTTAAGAATTATCAACAGAAAATTTGATTTCTTATATGAGACCCTGTATATTTTTAATTTATTGAAAAGAATTTAAAATTACCTTTCCAAAAATATACCACACTTGATATTTTGCTCGATTCCTCTTCGAGATATAGAGTATATAAAAATTCGCCCGCTTTAAATAAGTAGGCTTTGAACGGCACCGGCTGTAATGCAAAAAAATTCTAGCTGTGAGAATCAATTAAAACGAAAATAATATTTGCTATGAGAGATGCAGAATTTTATAACAATTTAAAATATATTTAACAAACATCAACACATTTAAACTATATCTAATAACAATAAAAATAAATATTAAACCAAGACATGAGATTTTGCTACACTACAGGTGTTCGACATATCGACCGACTTCTGTTATGGACAGACGGGGCAGTTTTTGAACATTTCTCGCGGAATTCATTAACTCAGTGGGGGTGAAAGATACCCTCTCATAACTGCTAAGTATTTCTAATTCTTGTCTAGATTATACGGAAGAATAAGGAACCTTTCTTCCAAAACTAAATATATCCATAAGATTAGATCCATGGGCACTAAGTCAGGCGGCCTCGACGCACAGTACTTCGTCCCATGGACAAAAATCAAAAAATAAGTTAAAATTTACTAATATCTGAATATATAATTTTATACTTATAGCAATGTTTAACCATCCTGTATATTATTTTTCATAAACAGCGTTTTTGTTAGCAAATATTTTCACTAAAAATAAATTTTGCGATCATTATCTCATCAGTGAAAAGAATAACATTCATAGTAGTTCTGTATATTATGGAGTTAAACGAGTACGTACTTAATTGAAAGCCACTATGGATATTGTTAAACAAGGTATGTACTTTAAATTTATTTCTAAACAAGTTCGTGATTGTTTAGTTTTTATTTATTTTTTAAGATGATTCTTAAATGGGTATAAAAATTTTACGTTTTCAAACTTCAAAAAGGCATTTAAAAAAAACATATCAAAACATATCGTATTTATTGAATATTTTTGTTGCCATATTGATACACTTTTAATTTTTGTATAGTTCACCTGCGTCTGCTTGCGACGAACTTTATTTTATAATACTTTTCAGATGGAGTAAAATTGATAAGCAATGTCGATCTGGCTAATACTTGGCTTGATCATAAGGACAAGAACTCAAAATTATTTGTATTTCAAAAAATATGTTCTTATTAGATATTGATGAACCTTCCAGTCAAATGAGACACCACTGGTGCCTGAAAAAGTCCACTATGTTGGAGCGAAACGTCGCATAAAAAAAGTGTCCATCTTTCAATTTATTATATAATCTCATACCCAAGAAAAGGAAAAAATAATATATGGATATGCTGTATTAAAGAGGTAACTATTAACATCCGAACCCCTCATAGCGACAAAATGAACAGTAACAACGCGAAAAAGTAACATATTAGAAAATGATGTACAGAAATATCTTATATGTGAGGATACTTCATCTACCTGATTTGGATACTATAAATTTGGAAGATTCTGTCAGCAGTAATTCTTCTGAATCAAAGTAGTTACGATCTATGCATTTTGTTGTCCTAAAGTAAATTTATAGTATCTTAAGTTTTTTTTTTAATTAAATATAACATTAATGTTTCTTTTTCATTAAACAAAAACATTTTTATCTTATCTTACGTATTAGGCTTATATTGTAGGAATCATGTTCTAATGTTATTTCAATTCTTTTTTATCACAGGAATTTATTTAATACTTACACCGTTTTCATACTATAAATTATTATTTGCTTAGATGGAACACAGCTCCAACATTTTTATTATTTATAAGATTTTTTTTTTCATAAACGTGGGACTAAGAACATCATCATTTAGTACAATGAGAGTACTCATCATTTGTGTCAAATAAACCTAGTTTGAATAAATTGCTTACAATAAAAGAGAAGTTTTGGATTTTTGTCCTCTAGAGCCATATGTTCGAAGCACTGTGCGACGGTCAACGGCTGGAATCTTGGTTAGCTATACAATTATTCTTGAAATTGGCTGCAAAAATTTGCTGATAACTTCAGCGTTCTGAGGCGGTCCGTCGCGTCTTGCTGGAAAAATATGTTTTCGAGTTCCATTAAGGGCATATCATCAATAAGGGGTCCAAAGCCTACTAGTTAAAAGTGGCGAACCTGTAAATATTCTGTATTTCGAAGGGGATTATAACAAAATATCAAGTGTGCTATATTTTTGGAAAGGTAATTTTTAATTCTTTTCAGTTAATTAAAAATATAGAGGGTGTCCCAAATAAAAAATCATTTTTTCTGTTGATAACTCTTAAATTATTAATTTTAAAAAAATTATACTTAAACCATTAAATTCTACGTAAAAAGGTACTTTGGAAATGTTTTCATAGAAATACAAAATTTTCCATAGCAAAAAAGTTACAACGATTTGTTAAAAATGCACATTTTTGAAAAACACCCCGTAACTCCGAAACGGTAACAGATATTGATGTGCGGTTTTCACCATTATGTTTTTGATGAAAATTGAGCCCCAGACACCGATATTAGTTTTCGTCTATCTCCTATAGAAAAGGGTGTTTCGATTTAAAAGCGTCGAATTTGACCCACCCTGTACATTTTTTGTCTTGGTAGTATAATACAGGTACAGACGAAAAGTTACAACCAGAGAAGAACACTGGTTACAACACTTTCACAAGCAGGAGTAATACTAACTAAATAATTATAATTATTTAATTAAAATGAAACTACTACACCCTGTATATCCGAAATTAAGCATTCTAGGACATAAATTTATACAGTTATAATTGTATAATTAACACACCCTGTAGAAATCTTATACTTTATATTCATCAGCACTTATGTTCATATTTAAGCCGCTGCACGACGCAGGCACAGGGTTCCTTCAGAATCCATCAACGCGTATTGTACTCCCGCTTGTTTAATAAATGTTTTTAAAAACATCTCCACAAAAACCTCAAAATTAACTATACGAACTTTTTTACTTAATTTTATCTGCAAAATATGTCGACCGTATAAAAATAATAATTTTTGTTTTATAAAACCGTATAATATTTTATTTTATAATATTTTATTCAAGGTTTATTATTTATCGGCATATTAATACAAGTAAAACACATTATTTTAGCACTCAGATTTGTGAAACTTTTATGTTTATTTTGACAGTAAAAAGCTGTTAACGGGTAAGTCCAGGAATTTTATGCGAGAGTGTTAAATTTTATAAACCAATAACACTAAATATCGGCGACACTGTTAGTGGATGAATACACAGAGACATTTTTAAAAATAGGTGTTTAGTTTTTTAAAATTTTAGATCTACTAGCGTGTACCAGCGACTTCGTTCCCGTCGAATTAATCATTTGTAATGGCGATGATAAAGCAAAGCAAGAATTTCCATTAACATACAAACTGGATAAAATTTTCTCACATTTATGTCAGCACGAGAAAAAACAATATTTGAGGGGTAGTTTCATCTCGTTGGAATTTGACTTTCGCAAAATCCGTTTGCCAAAAATAAGCTTTTTACGTCAAACAGTTTAAGCAGAATCGTGGTTAAAAAATTCAACCCAACTTTTGGAACACCCTCATGATTTTTTAAAAAATTTCAAAATATGTAAAAAACAAATAAATTATGCTTGTCCAAGCGTTTTCCCGAAAGACTAACCGTTTTAAATAACAAATATTGTAATATTTGAGGGCGTTTTCACCCTCTTGGAATTTGAGATTCGAGAAATCCTCCTTATCGAACCTGTACACCCCACAGTCAATCCGTTTGCCAAAAATCAGCTTTAAACGGCAAGCAGTTTAAGCAGAATCGTGATTACTCAATGGTCATATTTTATGAAACACCCTGTATCAATTTATAAAAAATCTTAAAATATGTAAAACAATAAAATAAAAGTATAATACGTTTAAGAGTTTTCCGAAAAAACTCACCGGTTTTTAAATAAAAAATATTTTAATATTTGAGGGATAGTTTCACCCCCTTAGAATTCGAGTTTCGAAAAATCCCTTCTTATCGAACCTCTACACCCTAAAGTCAATCTGTTTTCCAAAAATCAGTTTTTTACGTCAAGCGCTTTAAGCAGGATCGTGATTAATCAATGACCAGATTTTTCGAAACACATTTTTAAAAAATCTTAAAATATGTAAAAAAACAAAATAAAATATACGTGTTTAAGCGTTTTTTCGGAAACTTCTGGACCCGGCATAAGATAAGTTGTAGGAATCTTTCGTAGATTTATGCATAAAGGATGCTGGGTCTTTTAACTTTTTTAAAGACATTTTTAAAAATATTCGGAAAATATGTTTTTATTCAGCTATTTTTAGAATAAAAAATACTTATTAAATAATTACTTAAGATTAAGATATTGAAAACACAAACATAATATTAAATTTATTATATTGCTTATTGTAATTACCTAGAATTACTGACAAATATAGACACACACACACAGATCAGTAGGTAGATACATCTTAATAATTCCCGACATAATTATTTCAATTAAAATTTAATAAACTCTATATAAACAATTAGAAAAAATCAATGCAAATATTGTCCTACAGATTACGTAAGG